CATACTCACGTGATTTCCTCGTTTTATGCAGGGATTGGACATGTGGACGACCTCCAACCTTTCGTCAGTCTGGCGCGCACCCACTGCATTGGTAGGAGCATGCTACTCACGCCAGTACTCGACGTGGCCGTGTCTAAATGGCTACAGGGTCTGCCTAGACTCTGACCACTTGTGCTGATTGGGCTCTATGTCAGCCCTACTTTCCCAGGCATAACAATAATAAATTTTAATCAACTTACGAAACCAATAATGCAATGAAACCTATAAGCATTTCAAACTAATTTAGATATGAAAAATAGATTTACAACATAGTTAACAACCTATTGATGACAAATGGCTAGCACTAGATCTTGTCCTTCAATGTTTAAATAGGTAACACCGTTAGATAAGATAAAAGGGATCTTACCCAAGTCCATTTTCAGTCCATGCTGCTTCATAGATTCCACTAACAGTTTTAAATCCCATATCAACCAATTTTTCATGTATCATCATTGCAACAATTGCATGTGTAACGGCAGAACATATTTCCCTTGACAGCAATGTTGTCATGTCAACTATACTCTTCGTAAGGTAACAAAGATAGAGCCTTTCCTCAGCTGACTGAAGCTTTTGTAGTTTCATATTTCAATGCTGTCAAATAATGCCCTCCTTATAAGGATACTGCTCTAAAAAAGTGAACCACTCAATAAATTTTAATCACAAAAACTTCAATTTCGCTTTTGGACCGGAAATTGAGGAAGCTGGTTCAAACATTCATCATAATTTTTTGCCTTCATTAGTAACTGCATGACTAAGGACATTGTATATCCAGTCAGCTTCACATTTCTCTCTGTCATCTTATGAAGGAGTTCAACAACTTTTGGTATCTTATTATTCTTGAGGAAACCAAACATTAGGGTAGTAAATGTGATTATATCTAGAGCACAACCTTTTTCCTCCATATGTGACAACAACTCATTTGCCTTCACCACTATCTCCGCCATTTAGTATAAGAGTTTGATTGAAAACTCTCAACAAAATCTTATGCACTAAAAAAACACTATTCTCTCTATTTTTCACATAGCAGTGAACATACTTTCTAATTACATTTTGTCAATCTGTGTGTTTTTGAAGAATTAGTTTGGTATCTACAAGCGGTATTTATGTTGTGATCTTATTTATTGCAACTCGTCAATTATGTTAATGTGATTGCAATGATGATTATGCTAATAAGATCTTGGGATAGAAATAGAATAATTGTTATTCTTAGTTTTCTAACATTGGTATCAGAGTCAGGTTTGCATTTTTTTTTTTAATTTTCATGCTATTATGTTAAAGCATTCTGCATATTTTTTAAGTTAAGTTCTGAATTTTCGTTTTTCAAGTCTAAAGATTTGTTCTCTGGTAATAATAATTAGATTATTAGATTCCTTATGAAATTATGAAAAGAATGGCTTTTGAATCACAAAAATGGAGTTAAAAGGGTTAAGTTATGGTCCTTTAACTATTCAGGTTCATAATGGGTTATTTTTCGGGTCGAGTACCAAGTTTCCGGATAGAGGTAGAAGATGACCATATTGATCGACATATCGTTTTATTTTCAGTCTTCCATACGACATGTCATTTGTATAAACTGTTGAAGAAAAAACGAGGTTGGTGAGACTTAAACCCAAGTCTCAAATATAAAGTCCAACTCCCTAACCACTAGGCTACAATTTGCTTTGTGTTAATCATTCTTGCAAATCTATTATATTTTAGCCCAGGCCCAACCCAAAAAAGTATAAAGTGGGTCAAGTTCACTCGAGTATTCGGCCCAGAACCTCAAACGGGTTAGTCAAACCCAGTAAATGGTTTAATGGGTCAATTGACCCAGTAAATACCCAACCCAGTAAATAACCAACCCACATGACCAAACGGATTGGTCAAACTGGTCAAAGGTCAATCAGGTCACCTGACCCAGTCAACACCCGACCTGCATGGTTAAACAAGTCAATAGGTCAAGTTGACCCGATCAAAGGTGAAACGGGTCAAACCGATCCGAATTTGAGGTGAGGTGCGTGTCGGCATGTGCCGACTCTTGGCTGGCACATGGAGGCTCTTGTCGACACGTGAAGGCTTCTATCGACGCGTGGCAGCGCGTGGAGGGTTCTAGAGGTATCATTTCCTTTTATTTAAAGAATAAAATGCATACTTGGTATGATATTGCGAGTCTATTTTTTGTTATTCAGCCATAAACACGTATATATTTATTATTTATCAAATATAGTCAACCTTTATTTGCTAAATGAATAGAAATGTTTTTGTATTTGTTACAAAAAAATGTTAAGTTATAGACGTGTAATGGCTGCTTGAACACCCACTCAGAAGGAAAGGGTTATGAATATGAATAGAACTCTACAAACTCACACCTTAATATTAAGAGACACGGAGGATGAGTTGGTGTAACTAGTAAATCATTTCATTAATGTGAATGAAAAGATACAGGAAATTGTTCGGAAAGGGGGACTAATTAGAGATGAGTTGAAATACAGAGTCCTTAGAGAGACACTTAATTACCCTAGTCTCATTGATCTCCTTAATCTAGTTTGGAACAAGCTGAAAGCACTGTTTTAAAAACCGGACCGAACCAGCCGGTCCAACCAGTTGGACTGTGAACCGGTCACGTGTCCGGTTCGGTTCACTCTCAAAACCATTATAAGCATTAAATCGTTTTAAACCGGTTAAAAACCGGATAATATTACTAAACCTCCGGTCCATATTAACAACCTAAATCCTAAACGCGATGCAGTCTTCTCACGCCCCTTTCTCGTCTTCTTCAATCTTCAATCTTCAATCTTCAGTTGTTCTCTTTCTCCGTTTTCCTCATGAAAATTTCTAAGCAAACTCTCTGTTCTTTGCGAAAATTGTAACGGTTTTGGCTCTGTCTTCTGTTCTCTCTGAAATCCCACCCAAATCGCGTTTGAACTCTGTGAAATCGACAACATCTTCCTCCTTTGCCGAAAATCGACGACGGCAGCTCCGTTCCTCGCTGGAAATCGACGGCGATAGCTTCATTTGTTGACGATAGCTCCATTCCTCGATCCAGGTACGCCATTCCTCGCTCCCTTACATTTTTAGTCTGAAATTGTTAGGGTTCTTTTGTGTTGAATGAGCAATTGATTTGGGGCTTTTTGCTGGGGTCTTTCTCATTGTAATCTGGGCAGATTTGTGAGAGGGTTGCGTTTCATTCTTGAGGCTAGGATAGGTCTCTGATTTCTTGCAGGTTATAGAGAGTTATTGAGTGATTAGGCTTGGGTTAAAGCATTGCTCTGTTTCGGCAGATTGAGTGTGTAATTCTTGGTTTTTGATTTCTTTGAATCTTGTTTGTGTTGGATTGATTTATGTGTTGGATTGACAGGTTAATTGTGTCATATCATTTTTGTTATTTTCTCATCTCCATTGCTATCAAACATTTGAAAAACATTTTTGTTAAATTACATATCGATGTGGGGGTTCATTCATGCATGCATGGGAAAGTTTGATGTGTTTTATATTGAAGAGAAATGGAGGAGATGATGATGGAAGGATTCTTAGGGATTAAGACGGTTGAAGTTTGATGTGTTATAGTTAGTGATATATTAATTTGATCTCTTATTGTTAGGGTCTGAAGCTGCTGAAGGCCTCAATGGAATGCTGCAATGTTTTAACCAGTGTTTTCTTGGCCAATAAGAGTGGTTAATATACTTCATGCAGTGAGGCTTCTTGATTTATCTGGGACTTAATTTGAAGCCATTCTGATACTAAAAGCTACCTCTTTTTTTTTTTTCTTTTTAATGTTTTTGGGTTATGAACTCTTCAGTTTGCTCATCTTTTGTGTTTCTAGTATATCATCCGAGTAACTTATGCTATGTAATTTTGATGGATTTTCGAACTGCTCTGGATGGTAATATAGGGATTTAGATCAGTTGAACTGCCTAGATGATGTTAATGTATATACTAATAATACTACTGATGTTAGTAGAAGCTAAAATCAATGATGATGTTAATGTAAAGTGCTTTTACATTTCTTTTTAATGATGTGCTATTTATTTTATAGTAAAACCTTTGTACATTATAGAAATCTAAAAAAAAATTGTTTTTTTAAAAATGTGCTGACGTCATCATGATGTGGGATGATGTCATCGGTTCAATCAGCGGTCTAACCGGTTGAACCGTGACCTGACCATCAAAATGATTTGCCCTCCGGTCCGGTTTTTAAAACAATGGCTGAAAGTTCAAAACCTTAAAGATGACGATAAAGACTATAGACGTTTAATCAATAACTACATCAAGGAGTACATAGATTGGGGTGCCAGAAATATGGTTGATGCATCTATTGGAGTCCCCGCTCCTAAAAGACATCCACTACAAGAAAAATGACCTACGGTATCATGCAAAAAGTGTTACCGTAGGTGATTGGTAGCATTTATAAGGATGCTATGACAGCCCATGTTACTAAAAAGTAGACATTGGTAACACTTTTTGCATGTTACTAATCATTTCAGTAACTGCAATAAAATGTTGTTATTAAGTATATTGTAGCACTTATTTGAAGTTACGAATGATTTTTGATAACACTGCATAAATGCTATAGATAAGTTTTCTGTAACATTCTCAAAATGTTATAAATAAGTTTTCTGTAACATTCTTAACCTGTTACAGTTTAGTTTTTTGTAACATTCTCAAAATGTTATAGATAATAAATCTATAACATTTTTACAATGTTGTAAATTGTTTTTTCTAAACATTGGTAAAATGTTATAAAAGAGTTTTTAATAACATGTTAAAAGTGCTACCAAAGTATCATTTATTGCATTTTATAAATGTTATAAAATTATTTTTCATAACATTTTGAAAATGTTATCAATGTATCTATTATAGCATATATTAAAACTGTTACAGTTGTTATATTAATAATACAAATTATAAACAATGATACATTAATTTTTCAAACATTTCATTGATGGTGAACTTTCATATACAAAAAGTTTGCATATATGCCTAATAAATAAGCACCCAACATCCTTTACATCCATAAAATCTAATACCTAGATGATTGGAAAATTAACTATGAACAATAGTTAATACTTCTCAATCATTCAAAAAATTCTAACAAAAACCACCATGAAAATTCTGGTTAGTTTCCTTGCCGGTTGCTTCTCCGTGGCATCACTTGTCTTGCGTGCTACACCGCGCTTTGAACTGTTTTCAGAGCCAGTGTTAGTGCTGTTGATTTCACATGTAATTGGTACTTCAATCGAAGCTTAACTCAAAAATGCACAGGTCTCCCCCTGGGAACACTAGGAGTAACTTTGTCATGGCCTGAACCAATTGGATTCTGATTCGCATCAGACGGCTGGTCATTTTGTTCTCTATCCTGTCCAGTGGACAAACTGAAGAAGAGGATAACAGTTTATTAAAATTTAATTTACACAATTTGACATTGAAAATGGGCAAGTAATGGGTATCAACAAGCATTTACCAAGATCCTGAAGGAGGGAAACCATTAGGAGTAAATGAGCCACTTTTTCCAGCAATCTATTTTGATGCTAAACAGTTTTGGTCATGTAATCCTACATCTGAAATTGCATTCAGGGACAAGATGAGCTTTAAACCCTCAACCGACAAACCAGAATAAGAATCACACCCCAACATTACCCTTTAACCCCACAAAAACATTACAATGGAAAACTCTTAGTACATAGTAAAATCAATAAATGGTCCATACAATTTAAAACACGTGGGTTTTTAAATCTTACCTTGAGCAGTTTCACTTATTTTAGAGTCACATAGTTGTGTAGTCCCATTTGTATCCTTAACGCCATCAACATTGGCAATACCAGCATCACTAAGACATATAAAATTACAGAAGAGAAATGACAATTAACATTGCCAAACACTAGAGTATAGATATGCAGGATTAATTTCAAAACCACTAAAACTAACTAAATTACTTTAAAGCTATGCCCTCAGGCCTTTTGGATCACCAATGGACACTAGAAATTAAATTTCAAAGTGAAGAGTTCTATTACTTACTATACTTGATTAGTATCTTTTAACTTTTTGGTCATTCAATCATATTCCATTGATAAAGTTGTAATGAATTCATCATATGTAAAGAGAATTATTAAGAAGCATAGCATCTAACATAGATACTTGCAAAAGTATCCATGTTAGTACCATGCAATTTTGCAAGCTTCTCAAAATAATTTGTAAGTTGGATGCAAAATATAGCCTTTTTAGGAGGTGGGGATAGCTGGGGAGTTGGTTGTTCAACAGTCTAAATTAAACCACAAACAGAATCCAAGTACTGGTCTTAAAGAAAATAAAAATGCATCAAGAAACTTACAAGCTCATGAAACACAAAACAGGAGAAAAGGAAAATTGAAATGACAGTTATGAAAATTTGCATGATGATACTGCTGACTGGGGGGAAAATAAAAACCAACCTTAGTAATACAGTGTTGAACTCTTCTGGTGGTTAAAATTCCTGTTCAGAGCTTGGTCTCCCTTCTGTGCAACCAAATAAACAAAATTAGGCGAATTTCGTTAGTGGGGAAAAATAGTGGAGGAAAAAAATTAGCCAAAAAAAAAAGTGCATGTAAATATATTCTATGTTCTATTCATATAAAGAATATCTATTTCGATTGTTCCCACACATAACTCCTTTTCCCCACAAAACTGAGCCATTAGGTAACAGATGGTTATATCAACCATTTCACATAATCTTATCCTATAATAAAGCGGCACATCCTTATGCCAGAAATAGAGCCCATATTTGATAAGGTTTACAAGATGCACCTCTAGTTTCCTCCATGGTTTGGACATCTTCCAAGTCCTTTGTGAGAAGCTGAAGAAAAATGTTAAAGACATCAGATTACTGAAATTTTATCGTATGTAAACAAGTAAAGATAATGTTAAGACAAAAGCGTAAGAAACAACATCCTCCGCTGTTACCTTGTTTTGTTCAGAAAGGAAACTCGCTCGATTTGGTGACAAAGGTTCACTTTCTAACCTGTCTTGAGTCAGCTGTGAAACTGAAGGGGCAAAAATTGAGGTTTCATGTCTTAGAATATCTACATTATAATTTCTCTAGATTCTGAAAAGTAAAATAAGTTCAAAAGCAGACAATTTACCCTACTATTGTTGACAAAAAATCTACAAATACAAAAAATCTATAAGTTTAAAATCATCTTTTAAAGAATTTTCCCTCCCAATTTCGTTCAAAATATCTTCAATAACTTAAACTTCCAGATTAAAATTTACTTTAATTCCTTGTTCTACATTTTCTAGCAATTGAACAAAACCCAATTCACATTGCAATACAAAAGTGAATCAATTTATTGATTTTAATATGCAATATCCATTTACTTTTCTCAATGCATATTATGTAATTTGTAAACAACCAAGAAAAAAGTTTGAATCAGTCACCTTCTATAGAATCCTTTCATTTTTTAATTTAACATTCCCTCAAATCCAATAGCCAAAACACCCATCCCAACTGGAAGGTTCTCGGAAAACTCCAACAACAAAATCTCGTCATCTTCCAGCAACTCAACTTTCATGGGCTTGAACTCCTGTTTAAAAATCCATTCACTCATTAAAATATCAACATCTAAATATTCGTTTATCAAAACATCACATTTAAAAAAAAAAAAACAGAAATTTCAATATCTCATGTTAAAGTTGAGTTTGATAGCTGAAAAACCCCAGACAAAACAACCTGCAAATCAAAGAAATTTTGAGAAAGAAAAAAGTACAACACTGCTGCACGTGAACATGTCATCGAAGTGTCTGATTTCATCTCAAATATGCCCGAAGAGTGCTTGGCTTGCATTTTCCAGTCTCTTAGCTCCGGGGATCGCAAAAGATGCTCTCTAGTATGTCGTCGCTGGCTCAGAATCAAGGGACAGAGTCGTCACCATCTCCCTCTCAATGCCAAATCAAATCTCAAATGTGACCGTAGATCCGTCGGCATCGGGGATGATGCACTTGTTTTAATAGCTCTGAAGTGCCGAAACCTCACGCGCTTGAAGCTCAAAGCTTGCCAAGAGTTGACCAATGCTGGAATATCAGTGTTTGCTAATCACAAGAAGAAGAAGACAGATTGACTAAACCTTAAAACCTTCTGCCCTAATTGCAACGAGAAGAAGATTGAGAAGAACAAAGCAATTCGATGAATTCCAACGAGAAGAAGATTGAGAAGAAAAGAGCAATTAGAAGATTGATTGAGAAGATTTGAGAAGAAGATTGATTGACGCAAAATGGGTTTTTAGCAGAAAGGTTTTGTCGCAAAATGGGTGGGAAAGTCTTTTTCTAGGGAAACAAACAAGGGTTAAGAAAAGAAAAGGCAAACTCTGGAACTCGAACTAAAGAATTGCCCTCGATGTGAATATTAGCTAGGAAATTTTGGGAAATTTTGAGTTAGGACTTAGGCGGTATTAAGTGTTATTGTGCCGGTTAATATTTGGGTATATGTAAAACATTTGTTTGATCCCAACATGAATGAAAAGTGACAAAATAAACCCCAATTTTGTCCCCTAAACAATAAAAATGAGACAAAATCAACCTTATTTCATGTTGGCGGGAATGATATTTTTTTTCCCGGTAAATATTTGGGTTTATGGTAACACTTATAAAATGTTACTGTATTTTGATTATACGGTAACATTATAAAAAACCTACTATATTATTAGGTCATTGTAAAACTTTAAAAATACTACTGTAGTTCCTATATTAGTAACATTTTACAAAAAAGAGTTACTATTGATATAAAATGTGCTACAAAAGTTAAAGTGTTATATATGAAAATTGTTATTGTAACATTTTAACATTAAGTGTTACCATAGATGGTCTATAGTAACACTTTAAGAAAAAGTGCTACTATCCAGTGTTACCGTAGGTCAGTTTTGTTGTAATGATCATAAGAAATTATGAGTTCCCTTGCCTAGGATTACTTACAAGTTGGATAAAGACCTTAGGATAAAGCTTATCAGATCCTTCCCAGTTTATGGGATGTGGCATTACATTAGTTTCTTTTAAGACATTTGTTTGTTTTAATGTTACTATGTGTTGAATTCTATTTATGTATGGAATTAGTTTTATTTATTTATTTATAATGAAAATTTAAATTTTTTTTATTCTATGTGAATTTATGTTGAATCATACTTATATGGTTATGTCTTAATATTATTTTAGAATTGCAATTAATTATATCTATGATAATTGGATATTAGAATTTTGGATGATGATTGTTGACATAGTTAACTTTTGATTCCAAATCTAATATACAATTATCATTAATACAATTAATTAAATATATGTATGTTTCGAGCATTGAATAACATGTATTATCCAATGTGGAATTTTTTTTTTTAGAAATGGCATTTTGCAACATTGTCGCCGAACTTAATAAAGGAGAAAAATTTAACGGTGAAAACTACGAGATATAAAGCATGAAAATCCAATATGTCTTGGAAGAACAAGAGGTTCTTGAAGCTCTTACCACAACTATGGAAGAGCCTGAAGAAGGAGCCATGACTCAACATAGAAGAGACTGTGCAGCTTATGACATGTGGAAGAAGAAGAATTCTACTGCTTCCATCACTTTGTTGAACAGCATGGACAATGATCTCCTGAAAAAGTACCAGGAATATGAATTAGCAAAGGACATGTGGTCCGCCCTTGCTACAAAGTTTGTTGGTACATTGATTACCAAATTCTGGTCACTTACAATCAAGTTTGACACATATAAGAAAAAGCTTGAACATACTATGAGAGTACACTTAAGGCACTTGTCAAACATGATTAATGAGTTGAGAGATGCAGATCATGTTTCACTAATGAACAGCAGGTTCAAGCTGTCATAAGATCATTGCCTCAAAATTGGGAACACATGAAGATACACCTTAGCCATAGTGAGGGCATAAAAAATTTAGAACACGCCACACAACATTTGGAACTGGAAGAAGATCACCTTAATGCGAGTAAGGCAAATACTGATGTGTTTATGACTAGTTCCAGTTCACATAGTGGGAAGAGATTTAAGCATAAATTCCAAGGTGGATCCCAAAGAAAAGGCAATACTAATAACGTTCAAGGGGAGAAAAGAAATTTTTATAAACACTAAAAAGGAAAGCATCCTGCCAGGAAGAGAAACATGGCAAAGGTGAAATGCTATAACTATGGCAACAAGGGACATTTTGCTCGCAATTATAGCAAGCCAAAGAAGGTAAATTACTTGTTTGCACAAGTAAGTTCTGTAAATGTTTCTAGTTTTGTTTTTCTAATTGAATCTCATCTTTTGTGGATTGTAGATTCAACAGCAATAGACCACATAGCAAAAGACAGGAGTGCTTTTGCGGAGTTTGACGAATACCACGGGAAACAAAGTGGATCTATGTAGGTAACAATTCAAAAGTGGAAGTTAAAGGGATCGGCACATGCAAATTGATCATTCGTGGAGGTCGAATCCTATACCTACATGATGTGTTATATACACCCGATATTCATCGAAATTGGATTTTCGTGTTAGAACTTATTAAATTAGGTTTTAATTTAAACTTTTCTAGTGCTAGTGTCCATTTGTTTTTAGACACAACATATTATTGTTGTGGTTATATTTCTGATGGTTTTATCGTACTTGACATTGACTATAATTATAGTAATGCTTGTTTTTCCTTCATTATATCTTCCAATAATGATGCTGTGAATGTATGGCATGCATAGCTTGGCGATATTGGCTAACAACGAATGAATATACTAGCAAGAGAAGGCTTGTTAGGAACCTTAACAAAAGTAGACTTGTCTACTTGTGAACATTGCCTAGCTGGAAAAATAGCAAGAAAACCATTTGGAAAAGTGATAAGAGCTGAAGTTCCATTGTAGTTAATTCATTCTGACATATGTGGCCCAATGAATGTGAGGGCTAGACATGGGGTTTTTTATTTCATCACATTTATAGATGATTTCACCCGATATGGTTATGTTTTTTTGATCTCTCATAAATCTGAAGGTTTAGAATGCTTTAAGAAGTTTAAAAACTTAGTTGAGAATCAATTAGATAAAAAGATAAAAGTTCTACTAACCGATCATGGTTGTTAATATCTATCGGATCAGTTCAGAAATTTTTGTGATGAAATGGGAATAGAAAATCAATTATCTATTCCAAGAACTCCACAACAGAATGGTGTTGTAGAAAGAAAAAACAAAACCCTACTAGAAATGGTGAGGTCTATGATGGCACAGGCAAATTTACCCATCCTCTTTTGGGGTGATGCCTTATTGATGTCCACATATATACTAAGTACCCTCCAAATCTGCTACTACTATACCATATGAGTTATGGACAAATCGAAAACCTTATTTGAGTCTCCTAAAGCCATAGGGATGTGCAGCCTATGTTCATGACCCTTCCCATAAATATGGAACATTAGGTCCAAGAGGGAAGAAATGTATTTTCATAAGATACTCAAAACATTCAAAGGGATACGTCTTCATAGGAGAACAAGAAAGTGGTAATAGCATCACTGAGTTTGAATCATGAGATGTCACATTCTTAGAAACTGATTTTCCTAAGAAGGGTGAGATAGGTCAAAACTTGTTTTTATATAAAACACAAGACCAAGCAATTCCACTACCAAAAACCAGTTGGTTATACTACATCCTAGTGAGAGCAATATGGAAGTTGATGAATCAGTTTCAGATCCTCCATCATTCCCTACTGACGATCCGACTATGGTAGCTGGTCCAAGTGGGAGTAACACAAATCAATCTCCAATACGTCGATCAAACAGGAAACAAGTTCCACATCGATGATTTGAGATTGAAGGGAGGATTTTTCTAGTTACTCCACAAGATGAAGAAGAGCCAATGAATGTAAATGAGGCTCTCAAATGCCCTTCTAAGGAAAAATAGATGAAAACAATAGAATAAGAAATGGAGTTTATGAAATCAAACCAAGTATGGGAATTGGTTGATTTACTGAAAGGACACAAAGCCATTGGGAACAAATGGATTCTCAAAATCAAACATAAAGCTGATGGCAATATTAAAAGATACAAAGTTCACTTAGTTGCGAAGGGGTAGACACAACAAGAATGAATAGATTATGAAAAAACTTTTTCACCTGTTGTGCGGTTTACCTCAATCCGACTCATTCTAGCTATAGTAACATGGATCTTGAATTGCTTCAAATTGATGTAAAAACTGCTTTTCTCAATGGAGAATTACAAGAAGAAATCTATATGAAACAACCAATAGGTTTTATTAGAGAAAGTCAAGAACATATAGTATATAGACTTTTAAAGTCAATTTATGGTCTCAAACAATCCTCAAGGTAGTGGTATATTCGATTTCATAATGCAATAATGTCATACAATTTCAAAATGATTGATGAAGATCACTGTGTATATACAAAGAGATCCTTTAACAAATTTGTTATATTGTCATTATATGTTGATGATATACTTATAGTTAGAAATGATAAGGGATTTCTCAATGAAATCAAACGATGGTCATCATCTCATTTTGAGATGAAAGATATGGGTGAAGCTGCATATATTCTTGGAGTCAAGATTTCAAGAGATCGCCCAAGGAAATTAGTATCTCTTTCACAAGAACCATGCATTAAGAAAATTCTTGAACGATTTCATATGCAAGATTGTAAACCCATAGACAACCCTATCGCGAAAGGCGAGACTTCGAGTCATAAATTGGGTCCAAAGACTCGATAAGAAAAGGAACAAATGAAGAATGTTCCTTATATAAGTGCTATTGGAAGTCTCATATACGCCATGATGTGCACAAGACCCGACATTTGTTATGCTGTTGGGTTGGTAAGCAGATATCAGCCCAACCTAGGACAAGCACGTTAGAAAGCAGTGAAGAGAATCTTAAGATATCTAAAGGGAACAGCTGATTACTCATTATGTTATCAAGGAAATGATTTACTCTTCAGAGGCTACACTGATGTTGATTAGGGAGGAGATTTAGATGAAAGGAAATCTACTTTCGGATATGTTTTCTTACTAAATGGTGGGGTCATATCTTAGAGCAGTAAGAAACAATCATGTACAGTCTTATCTACAATGGAGGCTGAGCTTGTAGCATTTTCAGCTGCAGTGCAAGAAGTCGTTTGGTTGAGACGGTTCATGAATCATCTAGAAATAATTAATGTTGCTATTGAACCAGTGAGAGTAAACTATGACAGTTAAGAAGCAATAGCATATGCTAAAGATCCCAAATATCGTGGTAAAACGAAACACATAAATATCAAATACAATTTTGTACGAGACTTGGTAGCACAAAAGGAGGTCAACATGAAGCACATATCTACGCATGATATGGTTGCGGATCCATTTACAAAGCTTATACCAAAAGATACTTTTAATAGACATATTAGCTCTCTAGGCTTACGTAGATGTTGAGTGTACTTATACTTTGAGATTTTCCAAAAATGTTCACGTTTATCCTATCAGTATGCTCAATTTCATTTATTATTATTATTATTATTATTATTATTATTATTATATAGACACACACACACATATTTGTTATATAAATATTATATATATTTATTTTGAAAAACATGTCAGACTGTTAAAAGATTGGCTTTCTCACACAGGCAATTGCCTTCATTACTTTCTGGGAATGGAGATGAGATGATTCTAAGCTTATTATCTATGTGATAATAGAGAGTCAAGCTTAAAATGTTTAACATCGCACAAAATAGAATAAAAATAATGTCATAATGAAATATGACCATAAGTGATAAATTATCACTTTATCTATCTAATTGCCAGATTAGAGTTCTGATAAATTAAAAATATGTAAAGTGAACTCAAGTTAGACATTAGGTATGTATGAACTAAAATCTGTACGACATTTACAAGAGAGACATGTACTTCATGGTAAAGGAGGAAATGTTGTAGCATGTGATTCAGACCACATGTGCAAAAATATTGACCAAAGGGATAATGAAAGTCAAAATCTCAACTTTATCATTGTGTGAGACCCTGAGATTTTAAGAATAAAATCTCATAGAGTACCCTTATTACTCTATTCTATTTCTTGAAAACTTTGTTTAATGATTGCTATCTTAGAAGGTTACCAAAAGATTAAAATAAATTTAATCTGCTGGAATATTTCTAGAAAAGCAAATTAAATGAAAGTTGCAAGAATCGAGAAAAGAGGAAGATTTCAATTTTTGAATTATCACACTACAATCATGTGTATTCATTGGTCGATCAATTATATTTTTTTTTTTTTTTAATGTAAGGACAAAACATAATTATGAATATAACTGATGTTTATTATAAATGAGATAGTTAGAGAAAGATGTGATAAGTAATCTAGGATATTTCATATTACATACAACCCAAGTTTCGCAATTCGAGAAGTTATGTATTCCTAACGGATATATGACTAATGTGCTCTCAATATATGTATGGTTACACGACATATTTACTAAGTATGAAGCTTGTAGAAGCGTAAAGAGAAATAGTCTCATCATATGTGAGTGGGAGATATTGGATACGGATGAGACACCCATGATAGGACCCACCCAATTTGAATATCGAATGGATTGTGTTGTGGTAATTGCCTTTGGCAATTACCACTATCTCCGCCATTTAGTATAAGAGTTTGATTGAAAACTCTCAACAAAATCTTCTGCACTCAAAAACACTATTCTCTCTATTTTTCAGAGAGTAGTGAACATACTCTCCAATTACATTCTGTCAATCTGTGTGTTTTTATTACTTTAGTATCCACAAGAGGTATTTATGATGTGATGTTATTTATTACAATTCATTAATTATGTTAATGTGATTGCAATGATTATTATGCTAATAAGATCTTGGGATAGAAATAGAATTTTTGTTATTCTTAGTTTTCTAACATACTAGATACATGATAAATACCATCTTAAATTTGTATTTTTTATCTTCAATTTTTAAGGCTTATATTTTCATGAATGTTACATGCATATATACATAATATTTATAGATAATACGTACATGTCCTCTTTAACCTTTTCATGCCAAATTAGCATATATAAGAAGGAAAAGTAGATATGGAAGAGGTTCTGTTGAAGAAAACAAATAATTGTTATTTATTTATTTCATTTTTTTGGTTTTAATTAAGATCATTTGTGAAAATAAATTCTTGATGTATTATGGCCTTATGGGTCTTTTACTTGCATCATAATTTTTCTTTGAGCAAACGACATGCTCCCACCCAAGGTAAAGCGAAATGGCAAGTTCCCACCCCTAGTTTTATAAATTTTAGATTCTCACCCTTAAATTAATAGAAGATTGTTTGATATAATAGAAAAAGGGTAAAATGGTCATTTCTAATTCCAAGTTCAATCCGAAAATGAGCTACCACCAGAAGCACCCCATACAACCATCACTATCACCACCACCACAAGCCACCAGTAATTACAAAAACTTCCCACCCAAATCAATAATCTATTAAACTATTTAATCACACAACACAAAATACATACTATCAATCAATCATCAAAGAAAAAAGAGAGAAAAGAAAAATGAGGAGGAAAGGAAAATGGAAAGGAAAAAAAGAGAGAAACCCACAGATCAAAGGAGAGTTGGCTTTGGAACTTTTACAAATAAGTGAAGTGCAAAATTTTACAAAGCTTTGATCATCCTCCCCAGAATTCCATCAATCCCAAAAAACAAACTCAAAACACTTCTTAATCAATCCCAAACAACACACAAACAATCTCTTTTCAAAATCTCAACAAACAAAACTCCAATCAACCCCAATTTCACCGAAAAAGCAAAACACGAAAGGAAGGCAAATTCATGCTGACAGGCGCTAGATCGTGAAGCAACAAAGCACGGTTGCACCAAGAATTCATGGGGACAGCTTGACTAAACCCCAAAAATGGGGCAACCATTGGGGCAAAAACGGGTGGGGGCGGGGGCGGGGGAGGGTAAGAATAAGGGAGGCATAGGGGGCACTAAAAATGGCCTGGATGACGATATTGTGGCCAATGAATAGTGGATGAAATCGAGTGGGGTGGATGGGGGCTCATATAGGCCTGCAATCGAACCGAACATGAACGAACAGGCCCGTTCGAAAATCGTTCGATAAGCATGTTCGATTGTTCATGTTCGTATTCGTGTTCGAACGAACACAGGATGTGTGTTTGTGTTTGTTTGATTAACAAAAAGCTCGTTCGTGTTCGTTCGATTAACAAAAAGCTCGTTCGTGTTCGTTCGTAACTCATTCGTGTTCGTTCGACTAACTTGTTCGACTAACTTGTTCGACTAACTCGTTCGACTAACTTGTTCGACTAACTCGTTCGACTAATTCGTTCGATAATTTTTAAATACATGTTCGAATAACTCGTTTGAATACCTGTTCAAATAAAAAATATACACCAACTTTCCAATTGATGCTCTAAAAAACAAATATGCAACAATTTATAATTCATACCCATTTAATTCAACATTTGAAAATAAACCAACTCTCTATCTATATTTATATTTTAAACAAATCAATAAAAACTCAGTAAATTAAAATAACTAACCATCATAAATAATAAAATTTCAAAATAAATTAAACAGAACAATAAATCATTCAAAACAAATTTAGTTCCATATCAAGCATGACACAAACAAAAAGAATTTGTTTACATATATATTTATTATCATTACATAAATTATCATAAATATTTTAAATGTTTACATATATATTTTGTATCAACGCGCATAAATTTATAGTGAAATGAAAATCTATTGTAATATATGATCAATACATATGTGTGATTAATTTGTTATATATAAATATATATTATTATTACTGTCTACATATACATTTTATATCAACAATTCAACACCCATAAATTCATAGTGAAATGAGGGTCTATTATAATATATGATCAACATATATGTGTGATTAATTTGTTATATATAATGTATAATTGTGTATATACAAAATTATTATTATACATATATTAATCATAGGTTAAATATGTTATGAAATTACCAAAATTATAGGTCATCATATATTTATTATCATTACATAAATTATCATAAATATTTTAAATGTTTACATATATATTTTGTATCAACACTCATAAATTTATAGTGGAATGAAAGTCTATTGTAATATATAATCAATACATATGTTATCATTTCTGTCTACATATATATTTTGTATCAACACCTATAAATTCATAGTGGTATGAGGGTTTATTGTAATAAATGATCTATACAAATGTGTGATTAATTTAGGTTTAATTAAGCTATTATATTATTAAATTTGTTATACTATACATCGCTTGATTATACAATATGTTATGTTTATCAATTTACCATACTATATTTATTATTTATTAATTGAAATGCTATCTTATAATATTTAATTATTGATTACATTTAGAAAAATATGAAGCTATTATGTTATTGGATTTACTATATTATATATCACTTGATTATACAAACTATTATGTTATTAAATTTGCCATGCTAGTTATCATAATAATTTATTACTTTTTAATTAAAATGTTATATACTTATATATTTAATTATTGATGACATTTGGAAAAAAAAAAATCCAAATATAATATATATATAAGAAAAACAAAAGTATCATAATATTTTATTATTGATTACCATTAAAAAAAATTCATCCAAACTAAATCAAACATAATATAAAAATGAAAAAAAAAATTAAATTATAATAATGCATAACATGTTTTTCGAACATAAACGAACGAACAATCGAATGATTGTTCGCGAACGGATGGATTAGTCGAACGTATAGTGTTCGCGAACATAATCGAACGAACAACCCCTGTTCGAACTCGATCGAACATATTATCGAACGAATATCGAACTGTTCGCGAACAAATGTTTGCGAATATTATCGAACAGTAATCGAACGAACAACGAACGTTCACGAACTGTTCGGTTCGTTTGCAGCCCTAGGCTCATAAAGGTGGAGATGGAGGAGGCGGTGGAGAGAAATTTGAGATGTGGGAAATTCTATTAATTTGGAGAGTAAAGTAATTTATTAATTATTTTACCAAGGGTAATATGTTAATAACATTTTTTATATCTTTGTCATAATGTGTTATTTTATGGGTGAAAATTAAAATTTATGAAATAAGGGGTGGGAACTTATAATTTCGCTTTACCTTTGGTGGGAACATGTCATTTGCTCTTTTTCTCTAAAAAAACCTTCCAACTTTTGTTAGGATGAATAATTGAATATGCGTGACTATATAAATTATTGAATATGTTTACTTTTTTTCAGTTTACATATTCCAAAGTTATTAAGAATTGTCTTTCAAGACAATTATAAAAAATTCCTATGTTCATATCAATTTTATGTATAATTCCAACAAGAAATTGCTTTGACTTAACAGTAAAGTAAGTTTATATATGAGTTTTGGATTAATTTAATATACCACAAATTATTTGATTGAAATAAGATAATGAATTTTACATGAAGTTATGCATGTAATTGTGTTACTTTTAATTTTCTGTGAAGTTTTATGATTTTTCTATTACGTTTTTCATTAAGGTACATAATTAAAATTATGATGACTAGAGAAGAGAAATTCCTGATTTTCTTTCGCTAATCACTACATATAAATTACTAAATACAATTATATAAATTCTTAAGTTAATTAACAAATTTATGTACCATGCAAACAAGAAAATGTTTTGATTTAACATTAAAGTAAGTTGATTTATATATGGGTTCTGGCATGATTGTATTTGTATAAAACAATGCTATATTCACAACATTTTCTCACAAATTTTCTCTAACAACCTCAGCATGGCAGCTTGCAAGTGGTCAATCACAATTTATCAGGTGGGATCTATTACAAGCTGACCAATTGTAAATTGTCACATCCAAGTTGTGAAAAAAAGTTTGTGAGAAGAGGTTATAGGTGTAACATTTTCCATTTGTATCTAATACTCACAAATTATACGATTAAATTAGAATGAATTTAACGTAAAGTTATGTATAAAATTGTATGACTTTACAATCACATTTTACGTTATATTAAGCTTGAGAGTTAAGGTTAATAATAATATTCTAAAAATTATATATGATTGTGTTTATCATCGTGATTGTTTCATTTTTGATAAATTTCCTTCAGGATATTGGAGGAAAATAATGAATTAACAGTATATATGTCTTTGCCAAGTAAAAGACACTTTCATCCAATTTTTTATTATGTCAAACAGTGTAGAAGGACAGAAAAAATACCCTGAAAAGATGAATATTGTGAAATGGATAACAAAAATATTAGAAAGAAGGGAAAAGATTTCAAATAGTTATTGTCATTAGAGTTTTAATATGATTATGTCATTTCTTACCTTTATTGTAATTTAAATTTAAAATTAATATTNAGTGGGTTTTTAATGGTTTTTGTTTTGTTGCAGAGGTTTTGTCACAATCGCATGATAAGTATGGATCGATTGTCAAGCTTTGGTTGGGGCCAACTAAATTGTTGGTGTCTATTAAAGAGCCGGTGCTCATTAAAGAGATGCTTTTGAAGGCTGAGGATAAGTTGCCTTTGACTGGGAGGGCTTTTAGTTTGGCCTTTGGACAGTCCAGTCTCTTTGCTTCCTCTTTTGATAAGGTAGATATGTGTATTTTGAGGTAGTTAAGGGGTTGGTTTTGTTTGATTGCAGGCTAAGCCGTTGATTCGATGAATAAACTTGTTGAAATTATACTTGCTGATAATTCAAGGCAGGAGTTATCATATGAATTTTTCTTCATCAAATTCATTTCAGGAAAGCCTATGGAAAGGCTCGTTTGATGAATAAGCTAATGGGAATTATGCTGTCTTGATTGTTTATAGTGAATCTAGAGTGCCTGATTGAAAACATTTGGGGTTGATGATATAGTTGTTGCTAGATGTTTGGGATGTTCAAATTTTAGATCTTTAAATTATCAATTTATAGCTTTATATCGTTATTTTAGCTTGTAGTGATGGGTACTTGAAGATTATTTAGCCTGATAACACTTAAATTCGTGTGTGTTTGACCATTTTAATACTAAAAGTATGTTGTTTTCTCTCTATTAATGGGTAATTTATTGTTTGCTTTAACTATTTGTAGGTGCAAAAGAGACGAGAATCGTTGGCATTGGAATTGAATGGAAGGTTGCTTGAGAGAGAAAACGTAATTCCTACAAAGGTTGTGGACTCTGTCATGGATAGAATAAATGGGATCATGGGCAAAGGAAGCAGTGATTGCAAAGTGGTTTCTCAACATATGGCTTTTACTATGTTGGGAGCCACAATTTTTGGAGATGCCTTTTTGGCTTGGTCCAAGGCAACTGTTTATGAGGAGCTTCTCATGAAAATTGCTAAGGATGCTTGCTTTTGGGCCTCTTATAGTGTTACCCCCTTCTGGAAACGTGGATTTTGGAGGTACCAGCATCTCTGCACAAGATTGAGATGCTTAACTCAAGATATTGTTCAACAATGCTGCAAAAACTGCAAGCTATTTTGCCATTTGGATCAAAGCACCCATAATGAAACCTCAAATACTGGAATGGAAACTGCATTAGGTGGACCATCTCATTCTGATGTTCCTGTACCCGATAACTTATTCTCAGAAAAGCTTAACGGGAATCTTAATGCGAGAGAAGAACCATGTGGGAATCTTATGGGTGTGATGTTTCATGGATACTTAACCACAGCAGGTTTGATTGGTAATATCCTGGCAAGGCTTGCTACACATCAGGAGATACAAGATAAGGTAGTTATCAAACTTCCCCATTTAAATACAATGTTGCTTCATATTTATAGTGTCAGAACTGAAATTAGTTTTATTTAAATTTATAATGGTCTCAATTGAGTGTAACTTCAAGCATTTAAGTTCTTGAACCTTACATTTTGCGAAACTTAATGTGTTTATTAGTGCTACTGATCCTTCTGGAATTTTTCTTATAGGCTAATAGCCTCCGTCTAGATACTGTATTCTTTTCTTATAGAGCTTGGTCCACTTTATTTTTTCATTTACATCTGTTGCATGGTTCCTTCTGTTTGCCTCTAATTTGCCATATTCAATCTCTTGTATGAAGTGGTTGTCCAGTAATTTGTCATTTAGGTAATCAATAATTGAACTGCCTTACTTTTCCCTTTATTATCATTTTATTTTTTAGCCCTCTATTCTGTTTCATTTTAGACTCCCTGTGTTTATGTTTTATTAAATATTAAAATTTATACACTTGGAAGGTAAAAGTACCTAGTAAAGGGCAAATTCTAGCTTAAACAATAGCTCATGCTAAACTTATACCTGTGATTTAATTCAGCGGTGAAGACCATATTTGTTTCCTTATTGGTGTGTGAATTGTAGAATTGAGACGAGAATATGGACCACTTGTTCTATATTGTTCTACAGATTTAAAAGTATTGTATAAATTGTTCCCAGTCACTAATTTATATTGGGTGATTTGAAATTTTGTGCTTTGTTCTGTATTGGGTTTTTCTGCATTTGGGGAGGTAGAAAAGCAGCTGTTTATGAGATTGTGCACCAATAAAATCTCAGCTTGTGTCCAGAAAACATATAAGATTTCTTCGTATTTATTTTTTGAGTCTTTGGGTTCTTTTGAGTTGTCTGTACATATTCTTCTATAGGTTTTCTTGGACTAACTTGTTCACCCTTTTCTAAAATCTTTATTCTATGAGTTTAGCCTTTTCTGTTTCTTATAAAAAACAAGAAAAAAGATCACATATGAAACATAAGAAAGTGGTAGTAAAGTGTAGACTATGCATTCTGTTGTGATCCAAACCCAACTGATTAGTGACCTGCTAAGCTTGGTGCTTGAAGTATTCCTGGACTAAATTGCTTATTAAGAATCTCACATTTATATTAAATGCTTCTGGAGCATGAAAATAAGCATGACCTACTCTTTGCATGAAGTGTATATAAATCTGTGGCTGGTTGTCTCATTCTTGTGTATGCTTGCAGAGGTTTTGGTTATATAACATATTGAATTTACATGTTGGTCTAAATCAGTATTTGATTGGGATTACTATGAATAAAGACTAAATTGAATTGCCATTACTTTCAGAAGGCATTCTTACATATTGGGGCTCTTTGATTGTATTTTATGTTTATTGTTTATATGAAACTTTTGCAGATATACGAGGAGATAATTATGGTACGAAAGGGGTCTGTGAAGCAAGAACAACAAAGTGTTGATAAGATGCTCCTATTATTGGCAACTGTTTATGAATCTGCTCGTCTTCTGCCTGCAGGACCTTTGTTACAGAGATGCTCTCTGAAACATGGTGAGGCATTGCTTACTTCTTTGGTGATTGCTTAATTTGGAACTTTATGCTCAAGACCTTTTTCTATTTGGAGTCGCATTTTCTGCAGTGGGATGCATAGATGTCTACATTATATTTAATTTGCAAATGATTATCATCTATTTGTATCACACAGGACGTACATTCATCAATTTTTCTTTCTCTTATAGGATACAAAAACTTGATTCCTATCAAAAAAAGGATAGAATTCAGGCTGAAAGTAAGACTGAGCTGTAATTGTTGCTTTTCATTTTATTTGGCTAGTGAAGTGGTTGAACGGAAACCTACATTATTCATTGGGTGTGGTCAAAATGTCTCTGCAGTAATTTTCTATTTGTTAACAGGCCTCCCAGTTTTCCAGCATGAAAAATAAAGAATTTTGGAATTCTTTTGTTATAGACATCCATAAAAATGCCAGCTTTAGAACTGTCCCAAATTTCTCCTTTCATCAAATCACCCAAAAGACTGCCAGCACTGAATATCTCCATAATACTTTACCCTTTTTTTCCACCAAACGCACGCAAAACCTCTAGGAATAGTGAAATACAAAATTCTATTCCAATCTGTAATATCTTTGCTGTCTTAAAAAGAAGATGTCAAAACTTTGAGGCTCAAGGACGGTGAAGAGAAAAATGATTAATTGTTTATCTGCTGTTGCAGTTTATCTGCCTGATGTTCTGTGAGCTCTTTTTTTGAAACTTAATTGTGACAAGACCTTTGCTTTTTCCTTATCCATTTTTTGCAAGGGGTGTTGAATGTTGTGTTGATCGAAATATGTGTGAAGGTTGCACATCTTGAGCATTAGAAAAAGGGGTGAATGATAGTCTTTAGTTCTAATGTAGGATAGAAAATTTAGAAATGTTATTTCACTAACTTGTTTTACTTGGGAGTTTTTTAGGATTTTGTTTTGCTTCAAGATATTCATTATTATTGTATGATTTGATTTTTCTAGTTACTTCGCCGTAAATGGGTTTGTTATCTCACATTTTTATGTATATGTTTTAAATTATTTTTTCACTTAATTTGTAAAAATTATATTCTCGTTGATTCAAGAACTCATTTTCGTGGATTCAAGTTATTGTCTTGTGGATTTGAGTAATCTGCTAGAACTTGGGTCTTCTTATTTTGTAGCATCAAGTGGTAACAGAGTTTATTTTTCTATCTGACCATGAGTAAACATAATAGATTAGTATGATAAATTTAGATTTCATCTGTTTGGAGGTTACCTGATATATTCTTTAATCATTCATAGCTATCATCGTAAGTTGAACGATTTTATGGATTCTTATAGCTAATATTCGATTAATTGTCTCTCTTTTTGTCTTTATTTGCTTTATTATCTCTGGATCTGTCTGAATCACCTGCTTCAAACTTTTGTCCTACCCTACAGATGTGGCTGTATTACTGTTTTGCTTCATCGTTGCTATTGCTAATATCTTTGTGGCTTTAAATGTGTAACTGACTGTTTTCTTTTTCTCCCCCTTCCCCCCTTCTCTTTACTCCAAGATTTGACTCTTAAAAATGGTGTAACCATTCCAACTGGAGCCATGCTGGTTGTACCTGTACAGTTGGTACAGATGGACAAGTGTAGTTGGGGAAGTGATTCTTGCCAATTTAATCCATACCGTTTTTTGTCAGCGAATGGAAAACAATCTGATAAAGCGTGCAATGCATCATTGACAGGTTTTACTCTTGCCCATTTCTACCCAAAAAGTTTGTTTGTACTTTAATATGTCAATCATTTGGTCTTAACTATGTTACATGGCTATAGTTCTGTGCCTGCCAGGACATGCCCTGTTATGTGGTAGTGTGATATAATCACACTTTTATCATGTAAATATGCTTTGCTTTGAAAAGCATGAGTGTTATATTGTGGTAATTTAGCTTGTCACAATTTAATTTTGTCTGTATCATATACGAACATTCTAGGTTTGCATTTCAGTTAGTCCTACCATCCATCGAGTCTGTATGATGACGAGTTACAGGTTTGTAGTATTTATGATTTTATACTCAAAATATCAGTTTGTGATTGTTCACAGGTGCTGTGAAGGAGGATGTGGATCCAAGAGAAACCTCATCTGTTTTGAAGGATCCAAATGACAATGTAGCATTTCTTCACTTTGGCTCCGGCAGTCGTGCCTGTGTTGGCCAGAAATTTGTTATTCATGGAGTTGCTACTTTATTTGCATCATTGCTTGAACGCTATGAGGTTTGTGCTAGTATTTTGTTAGTCCTTTTGTCACAAATATTTATATTTTGCAACCTTTTGCTGCTTCATTACACTATAAACTCTGTGCTTAGCCTCACAGGTTATCATACAAATGTTAGGGTTTGATAACAATATGCTCCAATGAAATATATTGCTCCCCACTTCTACGAGAGATGAAATTGAGAGTATTCCTTGTTTTTTGTCTTCATTTTTGGATAATTTCTTCCTTAGTAGTTGTTCGGTGTATGTTGTTTGTGTTTTCTTCAAGGTTCAGTTTCTCTTTACTCAGTATCTTTTAGGACACCAATCTTGGTACAGAATGCTGCCATTGTTCACTTTGTAAATACGTAAGACTAGTGATTTATTATTCATTTTACTTACTGAGATAATGTTCAGTGGGTTTATGCCACTTAGGAGAGCACCACTGCAAAGGTTGTTAGCAACGGTGAAATCAACTGGCCATGCCTTTATTAGAGGATTGTGGTGATTTTTTGGCCTAGCAGGAAAAAAAAAAAAAAAAAAAAAAAAATTATGAGTCTGAAGTGATATGTTAAGAAGTTTATTCAATCAAGACAATGGCTGGCATGTACTACATAGAATGGGAAGTTCTAAACTTCTGCGTTGAGTTCCGATTTAAGTTTTGGAAGGGATTATACATTCATTTGTCGTAATCTTTATTTAGAAATCTAATCGTTCTTTGTTTACAGATAAGGCTGCGGGCAGGGTCGGAAGAGAACCCAAAAGCAACCATGAACAACTGTGTTTACCAGCTTCTTCCTAGTCCTGAGATAGTTTTTGTGCGAAGAAACACCTGAAACGGAGAAGGCACACACGTTTTAGGGTTCGTGGTTATGTCTCTTACTAAATCATTTGATGGGGAAGGTCTTGTGTTTTAGGCTCATTAGCTGTTATGGGGGAATCATGCTGCATGAGTACACTTTTGTGACTCATTTTTTTGTTCTCCCTTCCTGCTTTTTAAATTTGTTTTTTAAGCACTATGAGCCTCTTTATATAAATATATTTCTGGTTTTCTACCCCATCTTTGAACTTAAAATAGACTTTTTTTCTTCCAACTTTTTTCTCTCCGGATCTAGGCATCACCTTTGTCACGGAATCATATGTATGACACTACTTCTGCTAGTTGCTTTCTGAAATAAAACGTGCATACACTTTTATTTTATTATTATTTTCCCCTAAGGTATGAGACTAATGCTATTCGAGTAAGTACCCTTAGCCACAAGGTGCTTCTCGACATTGCAAGTAAAGTTACAATTTTATTTTATTTTGGATTAAGGTTTATGTTAGTTGTTCTGAGTGAGAAATAGTGGAGTTTAGGGTTCGTTTGTTTAGTTATTAGAAGTAATATTTTTGAAATATTATTGTTAGGTTGAATTGGGTGGTTATTATGAAATAGGATTTAAAAATTAAAAATAGTTGAATAATTTACCTTGTTAAATTCAATGAATTACTAAAATCTCCTTATCATTCAAAAAATAAACCAAAATTCAAGTAATTAAATTAACTTAATCCCCGGTAAGAAAATATTGAAGAAATGAAATGTTTTGATAAATATTAAAAATTAATTTTATTTTTTATTTAAAAATTTTGAATGTTTATCAAAAATATTAAATCCCATGTGATAAAGTATCCCAACCTTCAATTTTAATTGATATAGTTGTTAATACCATATTAATTATATTATTTATTTTAGAATTAATATAATACTGCCCTATTAAAAGAATTTATTAACATTTATTACATTATTTATCAGTTCTACGTACGTTAATTTACAATTAATGTAATGTTGTTAACATTAACTGACAAATATGCTTTACACATTCACATTTACTACAATTTTAACAACATTTTTAGTAAATAAATTGTGTTTAAATTATGATAAAATGTGAAATTAAAATTAAAATTTTTAACAATAAATATACTTTAAAAAAAAAAAAATTGGTATAAATTAGTTTTTCCTTTTAGAATATTTTAAGTAATTAAATTAACTTAATCCTCCTCATTAAGAAAACCGACGGCCCACTTAGCTTAAGCAGTAAGCAAAGGTACGCCACTGGCGACCGTAGGTTGACACGTTCATGAAACGTGTCAAAATAAGGAAAGGGAAATAAACAGAACTCAAAACGACAACAAAATCTATATAAATTCTCTCAGAACGGCACAATAATGAAACCCACTCTCTCACTCATTCTCTTCATTGCTTTTTCCTTCAAAGAATTTGAAATCATGGCCATGCCCGGCGCTCTGCAGGAATCCCGTGGTGCCGAGAACAGCGTCGAAATCGACGAACTCGGTCGTTTTGCCGTCCAAGAACACAACAAGAAACAGGTTTATTTATTTATTTAATTTTTAATTTTTATGTAAATGCTAAAAGTGTTGGCTGATTTGGGTTTTGATTATGTGTGAAGAATGCGGTTCTTGAGTTTGGAAGAGTGGTGAAGGCGCAAGAACAGGTGGTTGCTGGTACTTTGCATCATCTTACTATCGAGGCTATCGAAGCGGGGAAGAAGAAGCTTTATGAAGCAAAGGTTTGGGTGAAGCCATGGATGAATTTCAAAGATTTACAGGAATTTAAGCACGTTGGCGATTCCCCTCCCACGTTTACCTCTTCTGATCTCGGTTGTAAGAAAGGTGATTCACTATTACTTTCTTAACTTCTAATTTATGCAGTCATTTTTTCTGGGAAATTTTAGTACTAATAAACACAATTCAGGTTCGAGAACAAAGATTGATTGCTTTTTTTTTTTAGTTAATTGATCGTGGTAAAATGTTTTCAAGACATTTTCTTTTATGCTCTTGCTGACATTTTGCTTTGTAATTCAGAGGGTCATGGCCCTGGATGGCAAGAAGTGCCAGCTCATGATCCTGTGGTGCAGGATGCAGCTAATCATGCTGTTCAAACCATTCAGCAAAGGTCCAATTCTCTCTTCCCCTTTGTACTTCAAGAGATCGTTCATGCAAAAGCTGAGGTGAGTACTTTATTCTTTATGGTTCTCTGTTGAATCTTTCTTATTTCATATGTAGATTCAGGAATTTTAAGAAGCTTACCATTGTTGTTTTTTCTTATTCTTAAAACGGTATGGAGTTTTCGATTAAGGGTTAGTTTCAAGTTCTAATGGTGATCTATTTGCATGCATGAACAGGTAGTAGAAGATTTTGCGAAATTTAACATGCTTCTGAAAGTGAAAAGGGGAGACAAGGAGGAGAAGTTCAAGGTGGAGGTACACAAGAAGACTGCAGGAACCTTCCATCTCAATCAGATGGAACAAGATCACTCTTGAAGCTTTATTTTGCGTTGACCCAGTATATGATACATCCCTTTTCTGTGGGTAGGGATTTCTGTTTATATGCTGCTGGTGCTGACGCTACTACTTATGCTACATAAAATCTGTTTTACGTATTAACTATCTAAATGTAATTGCTACAAACAATTTATAGTGGTGAATTATGATGAAAGTTCTTTTGCTTCAAGGTGGTTGAATTATTTTTCATACAATATACATGTTGGCAAGTCGGTAGTATTTATTCAATTAGATTTTGGCTCTTTCTCAAGATTCTTTTTTGCATATTTGATTGTATAGTTATAAGTTTCTCGCCCCCAAAAAAAGAACTGTTTTTATCATTATTAATGGGCAGGCAGCTTTGAGATCGATTTGGGGATCCCAAAAGAAAAGGGCTAATGGATTTCTTTTGTTCAGCAAAGATGGCACATTTATTTCAAGCCACCCGCAGATTCTAGCCTGGACTAACAGTAACAGAAGCCATAAAAATTATCTACATAAGACTGAAATTTGGAACTTGAGCCAAGCCTTACTTGGAGCATTTATTTCAAGCAATCACCAGCATATGACTTTAACTACTTGAACATTTGATATGGAGAAGACACTCAATAAGAAGAAATTTCAAGGCGCCTTTACTAAATTATGCCTTGTGCAGTAAAAGCAAAGCAAAGGCAACTCTACTACACCTTATAATAGTTCCACCAAGCCTAATGCCAAAAAGTTGAACAAACCACTAAATGATTTACTACCACTACTACTAATACTATCTACTACGGCTGCCATATTCTGCCTACATTACATAGTTGAAATGCACAAACTAAGTGTGCTCCAATTGTCATGCAAATCTAGTTCCTGAAAAAGAGCTAGTTAGGAACTGATACCACAGAAAATGCACATCATGGTGACGAACAAAATAGAAACAAAGAATAATGCTTTGAAGCCCTTCCCAGGGAGAACCACAATAGACATATTTTCATTCTCCACCAAGTAGGCCATACTTATGCTTGCATCTATCTTCTGTTTTTCTTCTGTTTGTTAACTACCCATTAGATCTGATCTCGATGACTATCCTTCTCGAGACCCCATGGTTCATAATTTGTTACCCTTCTTCGTCATAATCTTCATCGTCGTCGTCCAACCTTCTGCTGAGGTTTGCAAGCTGAAGAGGGTCAATGGCCATTCTGTCCATCTCTGAGAGAGACCAACCTGGAATATCTTCATGTTTAGTCTCCTCGGAAGGTCCTGCTAAGGAGATATTAGCAGGTGCTGGAGCAGGAGCAGGAGCAGGAGCAGGAGCAGGAGCAGGGGCTGTGGCCGGAGCTGGAGCTGGAGCTGGAGCTGCAGATGGAGCTGGGGCGGGGGCTGGGGCTGGGGCTGGGGCTGTTAGTGGTGCTACCGCAGCCTTTGTGTCCACATTGTCATCTAAGTCTGCGTTCAGATCAAAATTTCGAGCTGTTGCATTAGCACCATCACTGCCTATAATATTTTCCTTAGACTCCTTTGATTCAGAAGCAGTATCCACCACCATTCCAGAGCTCGAGTTATCTTTGATGCCATGCTGCACAGCTGTAGAAGGTTCTGAATCCATCTCACGATGAGAGGACTCTCTTTCCAGATGGCGAGCACTTCGTCCACGGCCTCTTCCTCGACCCCGGCCCCTCCCTCTACCACTGCCACTGACATGGCCCATCTCATGCTGCAAAGAGTATAAAGTACCTTAGTCCCATTCCTTAATGCCTAGAGAACCTAAAAACATAAGTAGATCATACTTTTTCAAGTTTTTCTTTACAGTCTTGAAATCAGATATTTTCACCAAAAAGTTCAAGCATCATTTATTTTGGGTATGAAATAGATTTAGGTTATTCTTAAAAGATGAAATTGAGGTAAAGTTGAATTTCTCTGTTCATATAACGATGCTACATCATCTAGGAAAAATGGTAAAAAGGGAAAAAAATAAAAGCAGAAAATCTAAGTAGATAAATATCCCCTCTATCTTGTTCTTGTATGAATTAAAATGAAGTTATATAAACATAATATAACAGGATGACAAATAATTTTATTTTGGTTGTTCAATAAAATATTTGAAGTATCTCACCATCTTGCTCCTCTTTGACTCTTCGTCACTGTCATTGCATTCATCACCAGCAGCTTTCCTGGAAAAACATATCCATAAGTAATTCTGCAGATATTAACAAAGGGAAAAAGAAAAAGAAACCATGTTTTTCTAACCTTCTCTTCGCAATAGATCGATCCTCACCAGCAGCTTCAGAATGACCATGACCATAGTCAGGAACTCTACTAACAATATCCCTCAGAAAATCAAACACATTATAGCTTTGTACACAATGTTTTCTGCAAATTAGGACAGTTATGTCAGATCAAATGGCAAGAGAGAAGTATCATGAAGAGTATGTAGAGCCTGACAAATGTTCTCAAAGAACGGTATAAAAGGAACTATTTAGAGCAATTTTGCAATTCTTTGAAATTAAAAGAACAAAACAAGTTTACAATTAGAAAGAATGATTTACTAGCTACTACCAGAACAAATACAAAACATTGATCAGCTGAATCGTTACTAATGTATATTACTCCAAACAGTGAGATGTTCTCCCTCGCTAAGTTACCCCCTAAGTTTGTTGTACTTATTGTTATTACCAGTTCACATCTCCAAAGTTTATCTCAGCTGCTGTTAACACCTACCCTCTATATGCAAACTGCCTCTAACCCAACTCCNTCAAGATTCTTTTTTGCATATTTGATTGTATAGTTATAAGTTTCTCGCCCCCCAAAAAAAAATTGTTTTTATCATTATTAATGGGCAGGCAGCTTTGAGATCGATTTGGGGATCCCAAAAGCAAAGGGCTAATGGATTTCTTTTGTTTGGCAAAGATGGCACATTTATTTCAAGCCACCCGCAGATTCTAGCCTGGAGTAACAGTAACAGAAGCCATAAAAACTATCTACATAAGACTGAAATTTGGAACTTGAGCCAAGCCTTACTTGGAGCATTTATTTCAAGCAATCACCAGCATATGACTTTAACTACTTGAACATTTGATATGGAGAAGACACTCAATAAGAAGAAATTTCAAGGCGCCTTTACTAAATTATGCCTTGTGCAGTAAAAGCAAAGCAAAGGCAACTCTACTACACCTTATAATAGTTCCACCAAGCCTAATGCCAAAAAGTTGAACAAACCACTAAATGATTTACTACCACTACTACTAATACTATCTACTACGGCTGCCATATTCTGCCTACATTACATAGTTGAAATGCACAAACTAAGTGTGCTCCAATTGTCATGCAAATCTAGTTCCTGAAAAAGAGCTAGTTAGGAACTGATACCACAGAAAATGCACATCATGGTGACGAACAAAATAGAAACAAAGAATAATGCTTTGAAGCCCTTCCCAGGGAGAACCACAATAGACATATTTTCATTCTCCACCAAGTAGGCCATACTTATGCTTGCATCTATCTTCTGTTTTTCTTCTGTTTGTTAACTACCCATTAGATCTGATCTCGATGACTATCCTTCTCGAGACCCCATGGTTCATAATTTGTTACCCTTCTTCGTCATAATCTTCATCGTCGTCGTCCAACCTTCTGCTGAGGTTTGCAAGCTGAAGAGGGTCAATGGCCATTCTGTCCATCTCTGAGAGAGACCAACCTGGAATATCTTCATGTTTAGTCTCCTCGGAAGGTCCTGCTAAGGAGATATTAGCAGGTGCTGGAGCAGGAGCAGGAGCAGGAGCAGGAGCAGGAGCAGGGGCTGTGGCCGGAGCTGGAGCTGGAGCTGGAGCTGCAGATGGAGCTGGGGCGGGGGCTGGGGCTGGGGCTGGGGCTGTTAGTGGTGCTACCGCAGCCTTTGTGTCCACATTGTCATCTAAGTCTGCGTTCAGATCAAAATTTCGAGCTGTTGCATTAGCACCATCACTGCCTATAATATTTTCCTTAGACTCCTTTGATTCAGAAGCAGTATCCACCACCATTCCAGAGCTCGAGTTATCTTTGATGCCATGCTGCACAGCTGTAGAAGGTTCTGAATCCATCTCACGATGAGAGGACTCTCTTTCCAGATGGCGAGCACTTCGTCCACGGCCTCTTCCTCGACCCCGGCCCCTCCCTCTACCACTGCCACTGACATGGCCCATCTCATGCTGCAAAGAGTATAAAGTACCTTAGTCCCATTCCTTAATGCCTAGAGAACCTAAAAACATAAGTAGATCATACTTTTTCAAGTTTTTCTTTACAGTCTTGAAATCAGATATTTTCACCAAAAAGTTCAAGCATCATTTATTTTGGGTATGAAATAGATTTAGGTTATTCTTAAAAGATGAAATTGAGGTAAAGTTGAATTTCTCTGTTCATATAACGATGCTACATCATCTAGGAAAAATGGTAAAAAGGGAAAAAAATAAAAGCAGAAAATCTAAGTAGATAAATATCCCCTCTATCTTGTTCTTGTATGAATTAAAATGAAGTTATATAAACATAATATAACAGGATGACAAATAATTTTATTTTGGTTGTTCAATAAAATATTTGAAGTATCTCACCATCTTGCTCCTCTTTGACTCTTCGTCACTGTCATTGCATTCATCACCAGCAGCTTTCCTGGAAAAACATATCCATAAGTAATTCTGCAGATATTAACAAAGGGAAAAAGAAAAAGAAACCATGTTTTTCTAACCTTCTCTTCGCAATAGATCGATCCTCACCAGCAGCTTCAGAATGACCATGACCATAGTCAGGAACTCTACTAACAATATCCCTCAGAAAATCAAACACATTATAGCTTTGTACACAATGTTTTCTGCAAATTAGGACAGTTATGTCAGATCAAATGGCAAGAGAGAAGTATCATGAAGAGTATGTAGAGCCTGACAAATGTTCTCAAAGAACGGTATAAAAGGAACTATTTAGAGCAATTTTGCAATTCTTTGAAATTAAAAGAACAAAACAAGTTTACAATTAGAAAGAATGATTTACTAGCTACTACCAGAACAAATACAAAACATTGATCAGCTGAATCGTTACTAATGTATATTACTCCAAACAGTGAGATGTTCTCCCTCGCTAAGTTACCCCCTAAGTTTGTTGTACTTATTGTTATTACCAGTTCACATCTCCAAAGTTTATCTCAGCTGCTGTTAACACCTATCCTCTATATGCAAACTGCCCCTAACCCAACTCCTCATAATCACTTTCTTTCGATGTACACACCTTTCCTCAAAATAATCTTTGATGTATTCAAAACTTTTAAGCTGCCTGCCTTCAACAATTTCCTCTATTTTCTTTTGCTCTCATAGATACCCTTGAAACAATCCTTATCCAAGAATGACATGTTATTAACTTTCAAAGCCAAGATATATTCTACAAAACAAACGATAAAATATGTCAAAGATGGGAACCATAGGTGAATTAGGTAAGCTTGTTGAAAGACGGAGGCATGAATTGGTAGAGTGGCAGAGTGGCAGAGTGTGTTCAACGCTGGTGTAAGAACTTCAATAGAAATATGGGCTTTGGTTTTTAATGGTCTTTAGTAAGAGATTTGAGAACTTGGATTTAACTTTTTCAAGAACTTGAATGATTTGAGAATTCAGCATTTCTTTACTCTCTTTAGTTCTATTAACTACTTGGTGCTCCATTTTAATAATGGGTTCATTGAACTATTCAGATTTTCGTTCCTATTTTGTTGTCACCATCTGCTATCCTGAATTCAAATTTTGTGTTGTCATCACCATCACAAGGCCCAAATGTGCCCAAACCCCTATTGGAGACATCAAGAGTTACAACTAGCCTACCAAAGCCTTTAGTGATCACGTCTTTTCATTAAAAAAACCTGGTTCAACCAAATGATATCATTGACAATTCTTGGTTCATCAAGGATGCTTTCAAGGGAAAAGGAACATAACATGTTCATGAAGATCATTAATGAAGAAAGCTAGAATAATGAACTGTTAAAGGTTTGTTAGGAGTTAAGAGTCTTGAGGAAGGAATTGTATTAGTATAAGTTATTTTTTATTTAAATTGTATTTCTCTGTTAGGTGATTATCCTAAACTTTTGTACTTTAAAGTTCAATAATTAAATAGAAAATATAGTTTTAGAATTACAAAAGATTAGTCTTTCATAGGAGAACAGTTACCGCAAAGCAAGCAACTCATTCTTGACTTTTGAAGAATGTCACCATCCAATATTCAACAGTGGCCCCATTTCCATTCGGAGCCTACTAGGCAATCTTGAGACAAATTTTTCAAGAATTTAAAAAGAAAACTGGAAAAACTTTTTTTTTTTTTTGATTATAACTATAAAGAAACTTCCTAAGCTAAAAATATCAAATTGGAAACATAGTGAGAAGACTTTTATATTGTATGATTGAATTCATTTTTACTAGACTATATCACAAGAAAGTAAGGCTTTTGAGTAAGATTAAATAATTAGCAGAACTATATGGATGCACTCAGTTTTTTAAATAGTCTTGATCTGGCTCATTCATTACTACATACAGTTCACCTTTTAACTGAGACCAACACCTAATTAAATCATTAGGCTACCAAGTCCTACACAAGTTAACTTTTGTGTATGGCTATCCACTAATGGGAAGCCTTACTATCATAAGCAAGCAAAAGCCTGAATAATAATAACTAGCAAGTAAGAAAACAAAAGCAGATGAGGAGTCTAATCCAACTTTATAAATCGATTACATTTCTAGCCTGAATATGAAAACAATTAAGCAAAAGAGGGTATTCATCACTTACAAATGCAGTGCACTCATTGTCTTTGCCCCTCTTTGTAATGTTATCTCATATGTGCGATCACAAAGGTCTTGCAAAAATAATTCCAATGCTTTTGCTACAAAAACACCCCAAATGATCATATGTAAGAAGAAAACCACATAAAAGATCCATGAAGGTAAAATCTAAAAAGTTATAGGTACTCACAAACTAGTACGGGCACTGCCAATGCTATCTTCCCCACATCTTCATCAGCTTGCATTATCTTTTTAATCCGAGCCTAGAAGAAAAATGTGTTCTTTATTAGATAATAACTAATCATTGAAAGACATGTATTTTCAGAAGGAATTATACACAAAGATAAACAAACATTTTCAAATTTTTAGGGTCTGTCTATGTAAATGTACCACCAAATGAGTTGTGTGCTTGTTGATGTCCTCTCTCTTACACAGACATGCACATAAAGTACATCTGTGCATTCACACATGTATATACACACATATAGTTGTTGCTGACCTTATGACTATGGTAATAATTGTTGTCTTATATATACAGTGCAACCATGAAACATGTTTGGATATTATGTGTCACACCATTAGTACAACAATTATATCAATTAATCATAAAGTCAGCACCAACTATATATGTGTGTATACATGTGTGCATGCACAGATGTGCTTTATGTGGATATGTGTGTGAAACAGAGAGATGACATCAACAAGTACACAACCCATTTAGTGGTAAATTTACATAGACAGACCCTAAAAATTTAAAAAATATTCAGCGACAATAAATGACTATAGAATCAATGAACTAAGCACTAAAGGAAAAGCAAAGCCTCCAAAGAACCACATAAATTTCAAAGAAAATTTGGCTTTAACTCATGACAAGGTCTCTTGATCCTCTCAAAAAATCAATCATTCCTTTCCATATAAAACAAATTAGAATGACTAAAGAATGAAATAGCCAGCTACAGAAAAGCAAAGTCATCCAAAGAACCATATAAACTTCTCAGAAAATTGATTTTTACTCATGAGGTCTCTCATTCTCTCAAGGCTCTGACATTCATTTCCATACAAAGCAAATCAACCTAATAGAAGGAATTCCCCATGCTACCTTTCTGATCTAGTCACCACAAAGCAGAGTGTGAACTTGCCAACACCTTCACAGTTCCAAAAGAACTTGTTGCACTCCAAATAAAGAGAAATTACGACCATAAAGCTTTCAAACAATCATGTAATAGCAAATGTTCATCTGATTCCCCACTAAACTGATACATATAACACCAGCTCACAACAATCCTTCCCTCTCAATTGAATTCTTAGCTGTAGAAACTACTGGCAAGCAGCTGTCCAAAGAGAGCAAGCTGCCTTTGTTTGACCGAAGATTTTCAGGCTCCTTCTAAGGGAACATTTACCATCTGAACGATCAAGTAATCTCTAATAAGAACTTACCTCAATTTTCTTCAACTAATTAACTCACCTCATATTTTCTTCACCCAATATTTAACCAGCTTATCTAATATTCACCATTCTCCACAAACTTTTCATGACAAAGCAAAACCAGAAAGGCAACCAAAATTTTGAATTTCCAAACATATTGATACTACCTAACAATGGGAAACTCTGGAATAAAAGCAAAGAAAAAGAAAGCAAACCCTAGGAAACTCAGCAGCCCAAAGCCATGGATAAATTTGAACTTTATGAATGCACACAACTTCAAGCTAAGATTGAGTTGCAATAACAAAAACTCAGATGATTCACATTCTTTTTAAGAAATCATTCTAATTGAAGATGCTGGATAATTTAGGTAACCAGAGCCACTAGGCATGATACGGCAGTCTGGTTTCAAAAATTTTCTACCTACTGACCATACTCACTAAGCAAAACAACAGAAAATAGAGTTAGGGAAGATTCACATGTTTTATGATGAAGTTCACTCTGTAATCCCATCCAATATTCAATACATATTTCTTCAGCAGGTAGCAGGGCATTCTGTAATTGCTAGATTATTCCCTGATATGATTGACGTTGGTGCTGAACATAGAATTATAGCAGTTTTCAGGCTAAAACATAAAAGCATAAACCTAAAATTTAGTTTGAGGGAAACTATGACAAGATAAAGTCTTCTATGTAAGAATATAAGTTTATTTTGAAGTAATTCTTGCAAAGATAATCATCTACAGAAATGCCAAAAATATGACTTTATACATCTGAGGAAATTTAAGGTTCTTCATATATACAAAAAATTATTTTCTTCAAACCAACGATGGGAAATCTAAGACTTATACTGAGTCCAGCCTTTGCATAAATCTCAGAAGAGCATTGTGGCTCAGGTGACTCTTTAGAGATTATAATTTGAAATCCACCTCTTAATTGGAACATAATTGGTAATCCAAAATTTTAATGCACATTAGAAATGGTGTTATAATGTTACATAAGAGTTATACATTAAAAAAATTTGACCTCCCAATCAACCAAGAAAAAAGGGACCTCATCGAATAAAGTACCAAAACAAATGAAAAAAGTTATACATAAGAGGACTCCATGCTATTTAAAGAGTAACCTTTTTCAACTATAAATGTCTGTACACTAGTAGAGTGTCACTGATTCATAGACATAGTTAAATTATTAGAAAAGAGATTACTATAGAGCCTATCAAATTATTATGTGCTGGATAGGTTGAATCAACTTCTTACAAAAGCTACGTCAAGATACTATGGTACTCGGGGTTAAAATTAACATAAGCAGATATAGTACAGAAGTGCTGCAATTATTTCAACAGTTTAACTACAAGAATCACATGAGGAGATACTTTCAAACAAGCTCCAAACCTAGTCAAAGGTCAATATTTCAAGCATAAAATATGGATGCGATCATTTCCATAACTTTCATTTATTCATAATTTCATCATGTAAATTCCATCGTTTTCTAATAAATTCATGACTATACTCTTGGGTAAGGCCACTCCAGCAAGGGTTTTGACAACAACTTTAACATCAAACTTGACCTCTGTACAAAGCATGGCCACGACATACCACAGAAAACATAATGCAAAGAGGAGGAAAACTACAACTTCACTGGGACCATACGGCTTAGATTGTTCATTCGACATTTATTATTACCAAACATGTGAATCCGAAAAATGATTTAATATATAAATAACTAATCGACATGGATCCAAACAGCCAAGTAAACATGGATGTAACAATCAAAGAATTTCCAACTCCAATAACCTAACTTCTTCCCTTGTGTCCCCAAAAAAGAGAGAACTTCTTCCCTTGTGTCGCCGAAAAACAGAGTAACAAAAGGAACATAAAATAAAGCTACCAAGAGATACATGCCTCACTCTACAAAAAAGAAAGATGCTCAACACTTTAAGAACAAGCCATCATATGTTTCCCAGTTGTGAAATGAAACCTATTATCAACCATCCCAAGATATCCCCAAAAACTTAAAATATCCAACCACCACCTGATTTCAGTACTAAATCACTTCACCGGAAGAGCGAACATAAAAAACTAGAAAAATCATAATCATATATACCCAACCCAGACACCCTCGAACGACTATTGAGGCAAGCATAACACAGATCATAGATCTCCATAAAAAAGCCGAAACACGAAACGAACAACAATTGCCTTGCAGTATAAACCACAATTCTATAAACCAAACGTCTCAAACAACACAACCCACATCATATATCAACATAAACCCCTCAGGAATCAAACACCCATCAACAATCGAAGCAAACCAGCCGGCCCAAAATTAGGTCAAAACATGACCTAAATCACGAATCTGAAAATTCGAAACTGAAGCATCCAAAAACTGATTTAATTTCAAGAACAAAAACAAGAACCAGCTCATATATTCACACAAATATTCAAGAAACGAAACACCCATCAACTGAATTTCAGTAAAATTCAAGATCCCAAATTATCAATCAATCAATTAAGCTCAAAATACCCACTAAGTCAAAGAAAATTTCATAATTAGAGGAGAAAGAGAGTAAACTCACAGCTGGGAAACGGGTATCGAGCTTCTTCCTCATATTGTGTGTTAAATTTGGCACATTAAAAAGTGAAGTTAAAATAAAATAATAAATCAGTGAAAATACAAGAAACAGAATCGATTTCAATAAAAAACAAACTAGATTTTATAAAATAATTATCACAGAAAATCTAGCACACAAAACCCATCTCAGATCTGATATTATTTTTGTTTCAATTTTGAGAAGAAAAAAACAGAGTCTTGTTTCAACGGAATATCCGTCCGTACAGCTTTGACGAAAAAAAAAAAACGAAAAATGAAAAAAAAACTTAAAAAAAAAAATTAATTAATTATTAAGAGTTAGTAGGAGGATAAAGTTACAGTGAAGTGACTAAAGATTTATTGAAGAATTGACACGTGTGAAGAATACCCTTTAAATGTACACGTGTGGTGTATACCCGCTCTTGTCTTTTTAAATTTTTTTCTTTTATTTATTTTTTAAAAAAATTTGATGCAGGCCATGCCTATAATTAAGTTATTAGATTTATGTTATGTTTTTTCTTTTTTCTTTTTGTTTTTTGTTAATATATAATCATCTTAATTAAGTAATAAGCAAAAACTAATTATTTTCATAAATTCTATTAGTTTGGGATTTTTATTCATTTTCATATAATCACCCCCAACTAGTCTTATTCATATTATTAAATTACAATTATTACTGTTATTTAAAGGGAAAATATTTGCTTTAAATCCCAAAGAGACAATTGATTTCAAAATTATAACAAAAAGGGCAAGCAATATTCCCATAAAATATTCCAATACTTTCTATTAATATAAAAACTGTATTTATTTGATAATATTTGTGTTAAAAATGTGAAAGATGAACAAAGAATTTACATTAAAATCTAACTGTCTACAATTTGTTTTTTTTTTTCTTGTTTCTTACTAATTCCAAAATATAAACAATATGTCTGTTTGAATAAGCTATAAACTTCAACAAACAAACCCCCTTTTTATACACTCTATTTGAATAATTTGAACCAAACTGACCACCATTTTGTGGTTTAATATTATCGTTAAAGGGAGAACAACATTTTTCCACCCAAGGTTTGGCGAAATGAACTTTCCCACCCGTTAAGTTTCAAAATGACACTTTGCCACCTTTCGTCAGGTTCTGATTAGGTTTTCTGTTAATATTTGATTGAAAAGAGGAAAATACCCTTAAATATTTGACTTTTAATTTTTATTAATTTGTCATATCAATTGAGTTAATTACCAATATACCCACTCTTTAAATATAAATAACTGATATATCCTCAATTATATATAGGAACATAAATTACCAATTTGTCTTTCCAATTTTTTATTAAAAATAATTTTAAAATGAATGAAGTTACCATAGGATTTTTTAAAATTTAAAACTTTTAGAATCGTTGCAACCCTAAACTGACATTTATATTTAAGTTTTGTCAATTTAAACCCAAATAAAACTAAGTATTAGCATTACTAATATCTGAACAATAAGAATCTAGATCATAAAATTGCAGTGCATATATATATAAAATAGGGAATTCAATACAAAGAAAGCAGATTTCCACAAACTTTCTGCAAAGATAAAAAGTGGTACTATAGAATTAATAGAGAAGCAAAAGTGTATAACTAAGTAGCCACGAATTACAAAAATTACATAGAGGAAGCTTTGCCTTATCTGATCAGAAGCTTTATTTTTATAATGATTACACTCAACCTTGTCAACATATTAAATATATTTTTCCCTTCTAAGTAACTGCTTCCAAAACCTGTCCGAAGTGGAAATAATTTCCTCCGTCAAAACAGTAAATTCTTGGAATACTTCAATCTCTTTGCCTTCATGATCTCTTCATCTTTCTAACATCAACTTTACACTTGAAATCATAGCTGGAATAATACCCTACGCAGAAAAATATACCATTATTTAATATTTTGTCAATTGAACAAAGAACATCAAAGTAACCACCAAACATAGCAAAATTTGTGACTAATCCCATCAAAATAACCATCAATTGAATAGAGAACAACAAAATAAACACCAAACATAAAAGTAACCATCAAAATAACCATCATTCTTTAATACTAGGCCAACCAATGGTGAAAGACAAATTATTATTGTCCCATCACCACCACAAATTTGTAAATCAATTAGAATTATATTGGCCAATATATAGGGCTCAATTATATTACGTGGACCATCAAAGACAACTATAAAATTAATACTCATAAAAACGATCACAATTTTCTTAAACTATCATGATGTAACATCCATTGAATAATAAGCCAAACATGTGTAGCGCTATAGAAGAATCGAAGATAATGCATAATAATAAGCCAAACTTGAGCATGTAAATCTAGGTCTGGTTGCTTAATGGATTCTAATTTCTTGATGGCTGCAGACTACCCACTTCTCAGAACACCGAAATACACTCTTCCATATGAGTCCTGACCAACTAATGAGTCTTTATTAAAGTTATATATTTTTTACTTGACTTAATCAATTGAAATGTTGATTTGGAATATTTTTTTATGCTTAGCAATAAAAAAAAAAAAAAAAAAAGCTAAAACAAACAATACCACTTATAATAAATCATAATTGCCACCTGCTGTAGTGAACATTTATTTGAGTTGTCAGCCAAATGTTCAACCCAGTGTAAGATTCAGCATGCATGAAGAGTGGTGGAGATGGAGAATGAAAGCATGAAAGCATGGATTCAAAAACCGGTTTTTAAACAAAGCATGGAAATGAGATTATACCTTCCCCTTTGCTTGGATTGATGAAGATTAGCTCCAAAAGATGGACCTCCACACTTTAACACCACCTTGAGAGGTTTAGAGAGTGGTCGTGGCTTTTAGAGAGAGTTTTAGTTTTGCTTTGAGTGAACAATATGTGTAATGAACAAAATGCAACCTTTTGCATTTATACATACTTGGCAATTTGTAATTATTTTTTTTCACTTCTAACCCAATAAAATTATTTTATAAAGGACCCACGAAATTTATTATGCTACCCTTTGAATATCAATATTATTCAAGGGCCCATGTAAAGTAACTAGTTTACATTAACAACCCATAAATTTACCCTTTTACCTTTAACTATTAAAAGGTTATTTTGTTCATCTCATTAATCTTAACACTTTAAGATATAATAATTAAATATAATTAATTATTGCTTGAAATTTAACCCTTAAAATGTCAAAACAATTTCTATGTACATTAACCATAGAAATCCCGTATTACCCTCGGAAGGTGCTAGTCCTCTTCGGTAATCATTTCTCTCTCTCATCCTTCTCTAACTTCTCAAGGCTATTGGTGTGACTATGTAGGTCCACGTGGATTAGCCGAGCAGGTTCTAGATGAATCCAGAAACCTGTGGAGGCCCAACGACTATGGTAAACATCTAGCAATGTGCCATGTCCCTAAACCAAGTGAAGAAATACTTCATCGAACCCATTTCAGATCAATGTACCATGCAGGTAAAGTCCCTCCATTGCGATATCCTGATCGAGCACGGATTCATAGAACGTCAAAATCCTAAACGATCTTCTACCGAATCGTCGATCAATGTTCGGAACTCGTCATCACAAACTTGCTTTTGTATGACTAATAATAGACTTTTGCCAGAGATTCTGTTTTCGACATTTACGATGTTCGTCTAGGAACTCAAATCGAGGATGTAGCGGTACTCTCGATCCTATATTCCGAGTCAATGGATCCCTCTTGACCATCGTTCGTTTCGCATATGAACAACGCATGACCAAATAGGCTTTATACGAAACATGATTAGTCTCGTACTTATACACCGTATGAACCATACGCATCCATATCGGATCCGACTACAATCTCTCAGGTCAAAGGACTACATCGTGCACTGATATAACCAAACGATAATCATTGACTACATGCTTTTTCAAGTGATTTGTCGTTATTCGTCACGTTCAAAAAATAGTTCACCAACCGTTATCCATACCAATGCCCCAGTGACATGACTATCATCGTCATCTATACTTATATCAACTCATGATCTTTCGGAAGCATCCAATGCCTACTGTGCAATATAGTTGCCCAAATTATATTGCTCTTTAGGGAACCCTTTTCGATAATTCATTTACCGATTAAATGAATCATCTGGACAATTCATATACATACTTTATTTTAAATGCATGACTGAATAAAGGAAGCAATTTATATATATGAATTGAAGAACTCTTTCTTCCATTATTTATGATATATATAGATATAAGACAAAATGCTCTGAAACCGACAACACGAATGGTTTTTAGGGTATAAACTAATATACACTAACACCCAACACCAGATCCAGTATCCAAACTATTTTCAAATGACCAGTGTCTAACTCGCTAAAACAATGTAAAAACTACTTATCACTATAGCAGGCCAGATTAATGCCTAACCACTAAAAGAAACCAAGTACTGATGTACAAGTAAGAGTCAAATCATAATTATACTTGTAGCAATACTAAGAGCTCTATTAACTCTTTGCTGATAATTACATCACTAACAACAATTAAGATTCTAAAGCAATCTCAATTCCTTAATACATGCCATCAAGAAGCTTACATATTATTATAACACTAATAACAAATGAAGATCCTCAATTTAACAACATAAGGGAAAAAAATGTCAAATGGACTTTTCATGTCAACAACTTTAGAGTCAGAAATGGCATTACAGAGTAAAAAAACATCCTTAATGAAATGGATCCTTAGAACACATTCCCAGAATGAGTATTATGTGCACTCAAAATGGAAATAGCCTATATTGTTCATATCCGGCAAATACAAATTTAGATATACTGAGAAACAAAGAATACTATCTAACTTGCTCAAGGCTATTGTAATCATCATTTATCTTTGAATATTTCCTCTCCAATTTCCTTTTTGACTCAGGGCCCAACCATAGTCGTTTTGAGGAGGTGTATAATGCTGCTGTGACACATAATCTTGGCTTGGTTGAGCATATGGTGGCGGTGGATAATTGTGATGACACCATGAACGTGAACTAGATCCAAAAGACGACTATCGAGAACTTGTTCGTTTTGGATGTATCCCACCCATCAACTATTTGATTGACATATATTTTGAAATATCAAGCAAATGTAAACATAATTAAGAGAGCTTATCTAAAAGGACCTTTTCAAGCATATTCAATACCATGAAAACACAAGCTGAGCAGAAATGAAAATCTCAATGATGCAATCTACCACATATTTAATGACAACAAAATTGATTGAAAACTACTCAATCATCTTATATCAATATAATAAAGA